CCAGGTGGGTTTGAACCCTAGACCTTCTCCTGGTGACCTATGGAGCATTACCACTATGCTATAGACCCATAGGTCTTATTACATTAAATTTATTTATCGAGAGATTATGTAAATATGTATAAAAAAGAGATAATATAAAAAAAAACTTGCAAACTAATTAATAATGTAATAAGTGAATTGGCAAAAAATAAACTTATATTTTACTAAATTCACTTATCAAAAAACCTACAAACTGATCAATAATACAATTAGTACCAATTGACAATAAATTAATTTGTATTTTGTTAAGTCTGCTTACTGAGAAATTATGTAAATAAGAAAAAAGAAAAAGAGAGAGAGAGGTAATAAAAAAATTTTTTGTCTATAAATTAATTAATAATACAATTAATATACTATTGGCAAAAGACAAACTTATATTTTATTAAATTTGCTTACCTATATACATATAAAAAAATAAGAAAGGAAAAGAATAAATAACCCAAAAAAAATTTATAATATAAGATTGTTATAAAATTAGTAAAAAATAAATTCATATTTTGCTTATATGAGAAAAAAAATTAGTTTTAAAAAAAATTGACTATCATATATAATATTATTGTATACATACAGTGTGTTAAAAAAAAAATTGCAATTATATTTTTATTTATAACTTAATAAAGAATTGATAAAAATTAATAAATATTGATAAATATATGGTTAAATACTATATAAACAACTTTACTTAATACTATTTTAATTAATATAATAATATATTTTTTGAAAATAATTGAATTTTTATAATAAAAAATCTATAATAAAAAATTTTATTTATTTTTATATATAAAAAATGTAGTCGGAAATAGACAAAAATATTTTTTGTTTTTTTTAAAAATTTTTATAAAAATATAAAAATATTATATAAATATTTATAATAATTTTTAATATATATTATTGTGGTGAAATCACGACAAGTCAGTTGCTTTGATCTGTCTCATGCTGTGTAACGATCAAGCGGTTTCTGCTTAAAAGAGGTGTATGAATTTGGCCAGAGTTCGTAATGCTGACATATATTAATCTGTCGATCTTGCGTCCTCAATGGTTACTTTATGTGCAGCAATTCCATTAGCTATGTAATACTGAGATCAATCACAAGGCAATAGTTTATCAAATAAAGATGGTTTTTATTTAACAGTTGCACAGTACCTATTCTGGTTCTTCCTACTTTTTGACCATTCTCAGGTCACTTATATATATTTTTACTTTATACCTATTATACCTATTATACCTGATATACCATTTATATCTGATATACTTATCCTTATAATTTCTTATTATCTACCCATCATTTTTCCTTACAATATTTTCCCCTCCTTAAATCATGAGTACCACAAGTAATCCCTAACTTTATCCTGATTTGAAAATTCTATAGTCACCTTCTTTTAACAATCAATTTTCTTAAGTTGGTAAGAGTACTCAAGTATTTGCAAGGCTTAGCAAGTATTCCCATGCTAATTCACTATATCCTTATTAATTAGTATTCCTATGCTTGCCATACTATATTCAAGACTTATTTGCCAAATACTACTTTTGTATTATCCACAATAAGAATTATTGCTATTTAAACCAATAGTTTTAGTGCTAATCCTTCCAACTTTTTCATACTTTAATTGTTAAAATCATGCCTAGGAAAATCACATTTTCAAAGCTATTTGTCTCACTCGCTTTGGTCATAAAGACCCTTCCTGAAAAACTATAATAATACTTCAAGAAAGGGTTAAAATTTTGAAACATTTGGCACGTCGTGGAGAAAGGTCCAAAACCTTGGAAGAAGAAGTTACCAAGTTAAAAGCAGACTTGGAAACACTTTCCGATGCTTACTCCCTTCACTGTCATAATAGAAAGTTGAAGTTAGAAAATTTAAATTTGAAAAATAGGATGGCTCAGCTAGAAGGATTTCTCCAATTGTTAGGAACTCCAGCTCCAGCTCCTTTTGATAGGTCTTTTTATACCTTTGAACTCAATTAGAGGTTTGCTTTTCTCCCTACTGGTTTCAAGTTTTTCCTCTTTTATCATTTGTGGATTCATAATGGAAAATGCAGTAGTTGCTGAGTATGCTTTGTAGGCCAGCTGTAATGGATAGGAAGTTGCTCTGTGGACCACTTCCATTACACTGTATTTCTCGCTTGTTTCTCTTAGTGCTTTTAGATTTCTTTTTCCATTCAAGAGTTCAATGATGCTTGTATTTGGACAAGTTGAGAACTGGGCTATTATGGTATCTACGTTCATGTCGTATAACCTGGATACTGTAATCCATACAGTAGCTAAAGGATATTCTCCCTTTTTCAATATTTTAAAAAGATTGTAAAAATAAGAAATTATTCATGTAATTATAAAGCATAATAATAATAAAGAAATAAAATAAAAATGAAATAATAAAATCTATTCAAATAATTATTCAAAATTGTTTATATAAATTATATAATTTGGATACTATAGCCTTAAACACCAATTTGCTCCAAAGGTAATATTACCTAGGGTGCTATGGCTGACCAGTCCTTAACTAGCATATGCTATGGATTCATATCTCTAGGAACCAAGGTTGTCTACAGCTATATCTGGATCCAATATTATTCATTCATATAAACTACAAGAAATAAAAAATCAAAAAGGTGATAGGTATTTTCAACTATTTGTTTAATTTCAAAAATAATAACCACTATACTAATAAAAAATGAAAATAAAATATATTTTTTTTTTTGCTTCTTTCAAAATAAAGTAAAAATAGAAAAAATAAAAATAAAAGTACCGATCAATCAGATAGAAATAAGGAGATAATTGATAATCGATTGATCGAAGTAGAAATTAAAAGTAAAAATAAACACAGTAAGCTAATATAATGTCATCGTTGAATAAATCCTAAACTATACTTAAACTAACACATCCCATTTCCCTTTTTATCCCACTTTCCTATTCATCCACTCTATTTTTTTTTTCATAATTTTCCTTCCCCTCCTTACTCGCAAGTACTATGAGTGATCACCAAGCTTTGGTAAGTATCGGCGTACATGGTCTTAATTATGCTGATTGTTATGTATGACGTTCGATATATTTGGCCAACACCTTGTTTTTCGAACAGGCGAAAGATACGCATACAGCCAGTTCGATAATGTCATGATAATATTCAGTTCATCAACCTTTGGAACATAGCTGGGGCATTGCATAGCCTGAATGGCATCACCTGGAACTATACATGTTGCTGAAATTCATAGATCCTTGATGCAATTGACACAATTATTTGATGCAATTAATTGAGTCATTATTAAAACATATAAATAATTGAGTCATGACGCAATTATTTTTGAGGATTTTGGAAATTGAATCAACAGCAAAATAATTTACATCACATGTATATCTGGAACTTATATGTTTCCAATTTAGTTATAAAGGCTATTTTTTCGCAATCTCTTTTGTGAACTCAGACTTGCCAGTATCTATTGGCTAGATCGAGGTTTGAAAACCACGTTGCTCTTCCAAGAGCTTCAATCAAGTCATCGATCCTTGATAGGAGATAAGCATCCTTTTTCGTTACTACATTTAGTTTTCTGTAATTCACATATAGATGTTGCTTACCGTTTTTCTTTGGCACTATTATAATCAGAGAAGTCCATGGGTTTCTAGATTCCACGACAAGTTCCTGCTTCCTTATCTTCGTAAGTTCATTTCTTATGTAGTTATGTTCGTTGGATGCCATCCTGTAGGGGGCTTGCTTTATAGGTTTTGCGTCACTAGTATCGATTTTGTGCTGAATCACGTCGGTCTAGGTAAGCTCCTCCAAACTTCCTGTAAATAGTTCTTTTATTCATCTCAAAGAGTTTCACTACTTTTCCTCATTCTTCCTCTGTTAGGTTGTCTATATCTGTTTTTGGTTCTCCAATGGCAAACTCCTCCTCTTCTTCTGGCATCAGTACTTCCTCCAGGACAGTTAAATAGATAGCAGGACTAGGAATCTTCATTTCATTGGTTTCTACCTCCGATGGAGGTGTCTCTTCCTGACCAGTGGTTTCTTTTACCATGTTCTCCTGCTCGGTGGTCTCCTCTTCTGATTGCTCCCTGGTATAGTAGCCTTTTTCTTTTTCCACTTTCTTGCTTTCATACTCAAATTTACCATATGTACCTCCACTCTTATAGTTGCTTGACTCTCCAATGTTATCACTGCTTGCTGCTGGTGTCTTCTCACTGGTAGGTCTTGTTTACTTCCCAATTGGTCTCATAGCCGCATTTCTCTTTGATTCCTCTCACATTTCTTCTTCTAGGGCCTCGTTTGGGGTTTCTTTGACATCGTGACTCCCTTCGCTGCATTCAGTTGTTAGAATTCATCCGCGATCACTCGGCATCCCAGTATTGTTGTCCTTCAGGGCCAGTATTTCACTATAGGTAAGTGCACCATTCAGTTCACTGGTTTTGTTGCAAGTAGTTGGTTCAGGTGCTAATTCGTCCTCACTTCCCTTTCCATTCGCGCATGTTGCGTTCTCTTTACAGTTTCTCTTGACATTGCTGTTTCTCGGGGCTGACGTCTCGTAAGAGATAAGTGTTGTATCCAGCTTGATTATTTCTTTGGGTGTAGCTGGTTCAGACACTAACTTACTTTCGTCACTCCCTTTTTCTTCCATCCCGGGGTCTTCCCTATCGTCTGCACTTGTCGAGATCTTCTTGAAGTCACTTGGTATCCCAACACTGGTATTTCTCAGTGCTTCACCAGGACTACCTTTGCCTTCTCGACGGTCTTCCTTTTCGTGCATGGTTGGCAGGCTTCCGGCTGTAATTTCTTCCTGATAGTCCTTTCTTTCCTTACGTCGTGGTTGTGACGATTTGAAATGTAAGGGGTACCCTCCCTGCCTTTGAATCCCTTGCAGAATAGTCATCGCAGGTGACAGGTAGGTGTTCCATTCTTTCACTATGTCACTATGGTGTTCTATGATTGTGGCGATTTCAAACTTACGCTTTTTTTTTGGATCATCATTTTTATAAACGAACAGGTCTTGACGATCCTTTGTACTACCACTGTTTCAGCATTTGATGTCATTCTATCTTCGCATTGCTTCTTTTAATGGCTCTGGTGTAGAGACTTTCCTGGTCGGAGTATCTGCTGGCATCCCACTAATACACTTATATAAAGATATCACTAATTCATCTAATCCCAGGTAGGCATCGTACAATCGCTCCCCTGGACTCAGTCGGGCTTCCTTCCATATTCTTCTCATCACCGCTTTTTTCAAAGCCTTGAATACATCTTGATTTGTTCTCCTGGGTCCATATTTTTTCAATTTATCTGAAGGGCCTAGGATGACATTTCTTATTACTCCAGATATTCCCATTATTACCTACCTAAAAATAATTAACAACAATAAAAATAGAATAAAATCATAGATTGGAGAGGTAACAACTATTGTATGCAATTATGCTTCTATGCTACTGTGTGTGATAAATGCATGTATGTCTGTCATATAAAAATCGAGGGGTAATGAGTGTTGTTAGTAGTGTTCTATCTCACAGTTATTACCAAAAATGTTATGGTGAAATTATGACGAGTTAGTTGCTTCGATCTGTCTTACACCATGTAACTATCAGACAGTTTCTGCTTAAAAGAGGCTTATGAATTTGGCCAGAGTTTGTAACATTGATGCAGATCAGTCTGTCGATTTTGTGTTCTCAATGGTTACTTCACGCACAGCAATTCCGTTAGCTATGTGATGCTGGGATCAATTACAAGGCAATAGTTTATCAAATAAAGATGGTTTTTATTTAACAGTTGCGCAGTACCTATTCTGGTTCCTACTTTTCGACTATATACATTTTTACTTTATACCTATTATACCTGATATACCACTTATACCTGATATACTGTTTATACCTGATATACTTACCCTTATAATTTTCTATTATCTACTTATCATTTTTCTCTACAACACTATGATCAAATTCCTGAGATAGTTTCCAATACAATTAAAGACAAATATTTTTGAAAAGATATAAGTTATTTACTTACTATACTTGATATATTGGTTGCTATCATTGCAACTTTTGAATTAAATTCACCACAACTTGTATTTTTTTATTATTGGTATTAATAACAATTAATATCAAATGGTATAATAATTTTTTATTTATTAATAATTATATATTTATATATCTATATTAATATAATTAAAAATTATATATTAGTTTATATTTTTTCAAAAGTTGAAAATAAGATAAGAAAAATATTATATAACCATTAAATATAAATATATCATTCTGTAATGACAATTGCTAATTTACTGAATTCCTTTTATCTTAATAAAGATCTTTTTACTGATGGCATGAAAATAATTTTAGAGTTTATTTATTAATATTATTCACATACTGCAAATATTATATGGGAACAACTACTTCAATATAAAATATAAACTGAAATTTTTAATATTGTTAACCTATTTAATAAACCTTAAATTAAATAGATTAATAGACAATAATAGCAGGGAACTACTTAATTTAAAGGAAAATAGTCTCAGTTGTGATCTACTAGTGTTGATAAGATAAAGGAATTGGACAAGATTTATTTTCAAAGCAAGAGGCATGATAATTTGGTTATAGATTCAAGATGGTTTTTATTAAAGAAAGTTGGGAAGAGTTAGGAAATTCCTTGGACAGTTAAGAAGAACAGCTGTCTTATTTATACATGTTTGAAACATATGAAACTAAAATATAAATAAGTAACAAGATATGCCAGTTCAGTCAAATATATCCAATATCCTTAATCACATTGCTTAAGTTATTCAGACTGTTCTGTCTGATCAGGCTGATTAGTCATATCCAGCAGAAATGTTATATCTACTTGCTATGCTATATATGCTAGATAACTAATAATAGAAATAATAAAGTAATATAATACTATAAAATAATA